TCCATCTGGAATATGCCAGCCTATTGGCACACAGCATAAATGTGGTCCGAGTAGCAGACCTGCCATTGAGGGAAGACATAGCAGAAAAAACAAAAGACACCGTAGCTTGTAGGAACAAGACAAGGAGAAGGGAGGGGAAACTTCCAGAGAAGGCAGGGCAGACACCTCCAACAATTCAAGCTCAGGAAGAACCAGAGAATGCAGGGCAGACACCTCAAACAGTTAAATCTCAGATAGTGCCAGAGAATCAGAAGCAGAACCAACAACCAGGAGGTTTCCAAGGAGGCACAGGCAGAAGACGTTTACGGTTTGAGGGATGTTACCATTGCAGCCAAATGGGCCATTGGGCTAGAGATTGTCCACAACAACAAATGAAATACCCACCACATGCACCAAACAACGGCCCTCCATGCATTAACCCAAGGGAGGTTTCAATGATGACGACAGAAGCAGGGGGTCCCAAGGATGTCAAAGACGAACAGCATCGCCAAACATGACCCAAATGCCACTGACACCCTGGTATCAACCACAACAATGAGGAAGCTCAGAGGGCCAGACCACCAGGTGATGCATCTTCAGCACAAGGGTATTTTGAAATCCAGCTACATTGAGCCATATCTGTCACCACAGGAGGGAGAGGTTTAATGTTTAATGTAAAAAAAAATCGAGAGTAGCATTTGCATTTACACATAAAGCATCCACAGAATAGAACATTTAGCAGACTATTTTTGTAATTATGAGAAGGAAAGAGATTACGAGTGATGTTGTTCCCCCACACAGAAAACTATTGTGTCCACACAGCTAGTGAGGTCAAGACGACGGGTTTCCACCAAAAAATATGAAGACGGAAACCTAGTACTCGCCCAAGACGGAGGATCCTTACCAAGTCCTCCTGTTTACACTGACTGCAGTTCAAGGGGCGGCGATACACCTGACGTGGAGCTGTTGAGACCTAAAAACAGAAACTCCATTCTGCTCTGGTGAAGTCTGGCTACAAAGGGAGGTGTCCGATAGGGTCGCTTGTCTCAAACCAGTGAAGAAGTCAACAAGAACCCAGCAGAACTAGAGAGTGACTGTTAGCGGGAGAACAGTGACGGAGCGACAGAGACTGGCACAACATTTTCCAGCCAGTACATAGATAGACCCCGTCAGAAGACCAGGGCTGTGTTTAAAGGGGAACTTCATTTATTGTTAGTGGAAGTGTAGTTTTTTAGTCAAACAATTATGTGATTTATGGAGTCAGATTATATTTTTTCTCATAAACACAATTTTATAATCAGTCTGAAGTATCTGTTTTAAGGCAATGAGCTGCAGATTAAATAACATAACACTGATTGAGAGCTTGGATGAAGAAGTTGTAGGGTTTTTACAACAGTTTCAAGAATCAGTTTTTATTTATTTATCCTTGAGTAACTTTACTGATTTATAATGTAGTGCGTAAGGCAATATCTCATTTTGAGTGAGGGGCACCAGCCCTTCATGCATGTCACCCTCTGTGAGAATAGCAGGTCTCCCTTGTAAAAGAGTTCAATGATCTCAATGGGATTTATCTGGATAAATAAAGGTTTAAAAAAAATTAAAACAAATAGTTCGTATTTTCCCTCTAGTTTAGAGAAATATTATTTTATCATATCTTTGTTCAGCAGTATCAAACAATCCTAGAATTATTGAGACGCATTAGCGAGCACCAGGGGTATCGCAGCAACAATGATGCATAATACCAGGACAAAAGCCATTGTTGCAACAAGTAAACCATTTTTTGTGCTAATGGCAGATTTTAGTAAAGATGCATTTATACCATCAGAAAGCCATACATCATACGATATTTTTTGTACACCTTATGGGTACACGGAGAAGTTATATTTATTTTGTGCAACGTTATGGGTTTTACATGTCCTGTTCAGAATAGGGTAATCATTGCAATATTAATTGAGCATGTTATGCTCAAAGGAGGGAGTGTCATGATTATACAGATATGTTGATTTTAGTGACGTTGTAGTTAATAAATAATAACATGTAGTTAATAATAGGTCTCATAACGACAAAAGGTATGCCAAAGCTTGGGCCTTCTCCAAGGAGGGAGTGGTCCAGTTTTAGATATTAGACGAATAGAAGTGATGAATATGTCAGAACTCTGAGTAATATTATCCAAGTTTTGTCTACACAGGCTAGGAAAGCTACAGAGATACCAGACGAGACACCAGAAGAGACTCCTGTTCGGCCAGGTGATTGGGTGAGGGTGAAAGTTCACAAAAGACAGTGAGTTGATCCCCGGTGGACGGAACAGTGAGAAGTTGTAACGAACTTCACACGCGCTCCGGTTAAAAGTGAATGAAAAAGGAGCAAATTGACACCACCTCACACATTGTCACCCTTCACTAGCAACTTCCAGAACATTATTGGGAGTTAGGACTGATTTGGCAGAGCTGGAACAAAACAATAAATAGAAATAAGATAAAGATAGAAACAGCTCAAAAGACGAATTGTCTATAGATTTTTATAGATAGTACACTAAAGTGAAAACCTATTTTTTGTTTTACATCTGAAAAAGAGTCCAATTTGTGTATACGTTATTATAGTACTCATTATTTAAATTCTGTAACTGACACAACCAGGGAGAAATAGAGATGATGTCAAGAACAAAGCCAAAGCTATTGTGGGGTCCCCTAGGGATAAGAGTCAGAATAGCATTGTTGATTGTGCTCATTACACTTGGCACCTTTCTGGTTGGATGGGGAGTACAATATCAAGTAAGACATGGATCCATTAGTCCACTCATAGAGAATGCCCACATCACTAACAAAACTCCAGCTGTGTTTCAGAGACTTTCACTTATCCCCAGAGCCAAAAGATCAGCTGAGCAACAAGAGGAGGAGTTAGAAATACTCGGTCCCAAAGGTGAGGCGTTTACAATCAAGATGATTCACCCCCCATATATGCAGTTCTTGTATCAAATGATGAGATGGGTTTAAGTGATCGGGATAATCAGTGATGAGGATTTACAGATTAGGGGAATCTCCAAATACACTGGATCCATGTTTTAGTCTGTGCCAGAAACACCCCTGTTAAGTTTATGGACAACCGACCGGTGACCTGAGCACAATTATTGAAAATGATTACAGTAGAAACAGGCTACTAACCCACAAGTACAGCTTTGTTTGATTGTGGCGACATTGCAGATATAATATGTCCAGTCACAAAAGTTACTTATGTTCTAAATAACAGTGAGATTTAAAATAATGGAGAAAATATGGGGACGTTCTTTTATAGTGTGTGAAATATGTGGTGCTTGAAACATGTAGGTATTTCAGTTTATGGAAGAAGATGGTTTCCTGAAAGAGTTATTTGGAGTAGCCATGTTACAGTGGGTGGAAACAATGTTTAGGGATATGGCACAACCATTAGTAGACATTAATTGGGTTTAGATGACATTTAACATCTAAGACAGATAGTAAGATTAGGAACATAGAGTGGAAAGGTTTGGATTTAATTTACCTCAGTGTGTTAGAATTAACTATAGGTAATGCGTCCCGAGATCTCTCTCTCTCTGCCTGTCAGAATGCTACAACCCCATCTTCAGACAAATGACCTCACCACAGGAGACTCCTCCTCCTCCTTCATCGAACATACAGAGAACCAAAGCTGAGACAACAACGACCTGAGGCATCCAGAACCATCTCCACCTGAGGCATCCAGAACCATCTCCACCTGAGGCATCCAGAACCAAACCAGCATGCTGACAAAGAGGCAAACTCTCATCGGTCGCTCAGACAGGACATGAAGTTCCAAACTGAGCCACGAGATTTGGCACAAGAGCAGAGTGTGGGACATGAGAGCAGAATACACCACTCCATGCAACAGCGTAGAGACTGAAAAGGAGGAGATGAAATGCAAAGCAGTTGGGCCACTGAAAAGAGTTACAGCGGGAGGATCCAAGAGCGGATGGACTGAGGAGAAGACAGGATGGAGGAGAAGACAGAACCAGAGGAGTTGGCATGGGCCAGCAGAACGTGAGGGGGTCGTGGCTTGACAACCAGAGGGGGAGAGAAGGAAAACGGGAGTGAGTGAGTTTACACATAACCACACTGAGGGTAGAACATATTATTCAATCTTTTCATCATATAAACAAATTATTCTTTAAGAGATTCTTATTCATGTGTGAATTTGGGGAAGATTTAATTTGTTACAATATAGATCTACAGTTTAAAGGGATAGTTTTAATAACCACTCTATAAAGGCAGACAAATCTTTATTTGTATGGAAAATGTTAAAGGTAGAGCTGGAACCAAGCCAAAGAAAGTATTCCAATATAGAGTATTGGTTTCACCATTGTAGCATGATTATTACCATAGGAGAACTGTTAAGGTGGAAACAACATTTGTTTGTCGTCCAAGATGTAGAGTTTTAAAAAAGACACTAGGCAAAGAGCGATTGAACATTTTAATTCTGAAAAACTAGTACAATTGGGAGTAATACATGCGGGGCCTTGGATCACTCATTTTAATGGTGCATATTTTTGACAACAAATATCATTCAGGGAGAAGGGGTTGCTCAACCCACCCTGCAGATGTTTTAAATCTTACTTGCAGCTTCAGAGGGAGCGCACAGCACCAGAGTATGAGTTTTAAAAGACAAGTGCCACCAGCTCCTAATGCTCATCCATTTAATCAGTGATGACCTGACATTTAGAGATGTTATTTAAAGGAGAAACATATCTGCCATAAGTGAACATTCCTGAATTGAACTAATTATCACATGCTCGGGCACCCAAGGTTCCACACACTGTTAAAGGGGTTAGCATGGTTCTTCAAGGAGACCAGAATTGAAGATAAATGAGTATAATGAGTTATTGATATTCCACTGGTTTTCACACCATTTTAGGGACTTTATCACTGCATTAGAACAGACCACCCAAAGCCACCAAGTAGGAACTTTTAAGTGATGAAATTCTACAACTGTTGTAACTGACCAAAATCTTCTCCCAGAAATGACAGTCTAGAATGCCGTATCCCAGAGTAGATGTTTGGTGATATTGTGGAACTAAAACCTTGTACTGTAGTGGACATTTTTATTATATCCTGATATGTTTAAACCAAATGCTTCTCATTTCCTGAGATGTGCTGTTTTCCTCTATCTACTCTACTTCAAGGCCACAGAGCTGTTTTGGCTACTGGGTTGAGACTCACACAAAGTCACACGAGAACTTCTACAGCTCAAGGCCAGGTGTCTAATAACAATATGACCGTGTGAAGACAGATTTCTGCACTTCCCACTCTTTGCTGCATATAAGCTTTGCTTTCCTATTATATTTGCGCACACTCCTGCAGACTATCATATACTCTGTGGGACCTGTGTCTTTATATTTTTATTGTATCTATGTATTTGAAGCTTCAAATAAATAACCAGAAAGACAACTCTGTCTGATTCACCATTTATTTGTTTTTGATCACTCTGACTTGTACTCTCCAGTGTGTTGGGGCTTAGATTTCCATAACAATTGGCGCTGCGAGCAGGGTCTCTGCAAGTTCGATTGGGGACACCTACGGACGCTGGTGGTGGCCGGCTCCAGGATCCTCGGATCCTCCTTTACCTCGACAGAAACCGTACGGGACGAGAGGACCAGCGCCGGGGGTGGAAACGATTGACTTCACGAGATCCAACGAACTCAAAAGGCTTTCAATACTCGGTGAGATGTACAGTGTCTAAATTGTTTAAAGTTAAACGTAATTAAACTCCATGACATTTATGAGAGGGACTGCTCGAAAGGATATTTGGGATATCCAATATATCGTAGCCTGGGTTTACGATCAGTCTTTGTGTGATTTGTACTGAGGAACAAATATCACATCATCGACGGATGAAAAAATAGTGTTTTGGTAACACGGGGTGTTTTGGTAACACTTGAAGACTTTGTTTTGGGAGCAAAGCAGGTAGGGGACTTGTACACCCTCCTGAGGGTCCGATTGTGGATGTCATGCGAGCAGAAATGGTGAAAACAGTCTGTCTAAATTAAATATCTGGACGGAAATGTTCGGATTTCCAAAGGGAGGGTTTTTGAGTAAATACAAAATCAAGAACCTAAAGAATAAATTACAAGAACATGAAGATGGAATAAAGGGTAAAAATAAAGTTAAAGTAAAAGACTTATAGAAAACTGGACACTCACAGAAAGTGTTTATAATACTGGGGAGTGAAAGAAGGCAATTGGCCTTGGGCATTAAAGAAAATATTAAGGTTGAAGATGAATGTGAAGAAAAGAAGGAAAATAAATTATTTCCAAAACCATGTAAACCCCAGACATCTCTGTGTTCTTCCATTGCAGGCCTGAATGACCTCTCCTCGACTGGGTATCCTTCCCTCCCCCGGGGTACAACCCTGGCAATCCGGTTGGCCCACCTCAACCACCTCCACCGCCACTACAAGCCCCAGCCATGCAGTCCGTCAACTTCAAGCTCGCCACCCCCATCAGCCCCAAGTAGATGGGGACAACAGCGGGATAAACAATCCCGATGGGGCAACACACCTCAGATAATGCCTTTCTCAACGGACTCACAGACACAGCGCAAGCTACGCAGAATGATGGCCGGTCACAATACCGAGGGAGAGGCAGAAGAGGTTTTCCGAGGCAGAGGACGAGAAGTAAGACCTTCATTTGACGAAAGATGTTTCAAGTGTGGCAGTGTTGAGCATTGGATTATGGGACTGCTCACAGAACACAGAGTGGAGGCAGAGAGGGACAGCAAGGACGGGGCCATTCACAATCAGACTGACCTACACCAGATGGGGAGGAAGGGGCCCGATCGAGCGAGACGGAAATTCAGCCAGCAGCATCTGAACAGGGAAGTGACACACACACACACACACACACACATCCCAACTTCACTCAATAGGAGCGGCTGGGGTGACTGTAAAGGATAAGTTTTTGTATCACTTCAGAGTGGAGATAACGGTGATGATAGTCATCCATTTCCCACATCAGTCAAACACAGTTTTCTTTTATCATCTGTCTGCCCAATACATTTACTGGGCAGAGATCTGATTCTCCAGTTCGGCTTGGACCTCATTTTTCCACAAATGAGGGTCTTAAAGTCCGGCAGCCATCTCCTACGATGGTTCAAAAACTGGCATTTGATGATAAAGAACTGGTGAATGTGTATCAATGGCTGCTGACATATCCTGATTCTCAGGCGTTGTTGCGTTTGACTGATCAACGTGTTTTTCCACCTGCTGTGTTCACGGAGGCTTCTCATTTGCATTGTACTGCTAACGTTGTTGATGATCCGTGTAAATGCTATGTGTTGGAGATTTAAAGGGATAACTGGTCCGCTTTTCAAATCTCCGCGCGTTCCTATGAAGCTGGTTATAATACAGGAAGGAATCCATATCTACAAAGTAACCGTTAACAATAATCTACTTTAATGGCAATATGACAATGCAATACAATCATTACAATACAACATGATATATTACAGTTATATTGCAATGCTTAAGGAGTAATGCCGGCTTACTCCTGCTCTAGTCCGCATACTGCAAAGCTACTTTCACCCGAGGGCAGCATGTGAAGAAGAGGCCGACCGCCAGGGATCCACCGGATATATACCAGAGTAAGAAGGAGGGGTTTGGTGTTAGGTCAGCTGGTCATCTTTTCAGGTCATCTCATTGGGAGACGCAACGCAGCAGGAAACGCAGCAGGAAACCAAACAGGCTCACTTTCCAACAAAAGGTCTCAAGGCCTGCATACCTACACCTCCCCCACAGAGCCATAAAACCCTGTTTACTCCAACCAGCCCAGAATGTTTATAGCCATTTGTAGTCCTTACATTTATGAAAGGATAAAACAGAGAAATCAATATAAAACACAAACACAGGTATTGTTTGAACAGTATTCACTTAACTGCTACTGTTGATAACCACCAGAGAAACCCAAGGGACCTCTCTTAATATCACAACCACTGTAGCTCGTTCTAAGTTGAATGCAAATCAGGACATGCTCTCACCTTCCCCCATCTTCCTTTGTCCTCAAAAACACATGTCAACAGGCCCCAAATGCAGCTCACAGTTTTACCCAAATTATTCCCATTTTAAGCTTATCCATAGTTTGCTAACATGAATAAATACAAATATAACTCTACAAATCCCCCTTTTTATCTCCTTCTCCAGAGATAAACTTAGACAAGGCATTTTGAAATATACCCACGGTCATTCTTTTCTACTGTGTCCGTAAATCCATCCGAAGCTGGTATTCAGAGTACTTGAAACCTTCATGGAGACCGAACACCTCTTTCCATGGCAGTGAAGGAACCATGAGGGGGTAGCTGAGTGCTAGAATCATCAGCCCCCCCCCCCCGGAGGAATAGCCCACAAGGACAGCTAATAGGGAGGGGGAGATGCAGCTTTCCCTTCACGGGTAGAACTGATCAGAGCGAAGTAGACTCCTCTGCTGCCTCGACAAGTTCCCTGTGCCGTCCTGGCTTGCCGTGTCTTTGTCTCCCAATCCGCTGACGGCAGCTTCTGGGCTGCCTGCTAGAGAGATGTCTTCCTCCTCCTCGTCCTCCGGCCCGCTGATGGCGGCTTCCGGGTCGATGCTGTAGAGATGTCTCCAGGGTCCTCCTTCTCCGGCCCGCTGATGATGCCTCCCGGGTCGTCTGCTGTAAGGATGTCTCCAGGGTCCTGCTCCTCCAGTCTGCTGCTTCCGAGTAGTCCACGTCTGCCAGGGCCACGTCCGTCCTGATGTCGTCCCCTGGTCCTAGCAGGTGGTTTCCCCGCCGCACACTGGCTCCCGTGGTACGAGCTGTCCCCCTTTTCTCCCAGGCAGACGGCATAAGAGGTCCGCTGGGTCACTCGGTCGGGGTCGGAGAGCCTGGGGTTGAGCCACTTTGTCCTCGTGCTTCTCGGGTCCCCCTTTTGGCGCCAGTGACCTGTGTGGAGAAATCTGATACAACTCCCTCAAGCCTACGCTCAGCTGTTTTGACCCACTTGGAGCCTGTTGGTGGGGTGTCTTGAAACAACAGCCGTCTGTGAACAGGTTTTCCAAATTAATTGTAGACCTCCTATCTGCCAGTGCAGCTTCAGAATCTTAATACTTGGATTGTGCCAACTAAATAAGAACCTCAACATCTTTAGGTAAACTAAATAACATATTTCAATAGCTCTGAATTTCTGACAAGCATCCGTGTTTATTTTTAAATGAAATCCTATTTAAAATCCAAATCTAATATGAACTGCTAATGTTTCTGGCAAAGAAACACACTAATGTTATGGATTCAAAAACAACCAAAATCACGATGCTAACAAAGTGAATGATTTCCTGGTGATACTGCTTTTACCTGTCAGTGCTTAGATATTATCACGCTGAAAAAATGAATACAGAATTCCAACAAACTGTCATCAAATGTCTTTCTATTATAAATTTAGATGAAATGTATATCCCCATAATGACCTAAATAATAAAGTATATGGCTCTTACTTCTTTACCAGGCTAGTTACATGATGTTGTCTAAATTAAATTCTGTCTCATTACATTACTATGTTTTAGCTTTAACTGTAATATGTTCTTTCTACATTCAAACCTCAGTTACTCTAATGTCTGTTAAAATATTACAAAATTGTTTCATTATCACAGGTCAACTTCTTCGGTTTCACAGTAGCCCCTTGACCACTGCTTCTGTGTTACCTGTTATAATTCAAATCAATATTTAGAAACATCTCAACATTCATCAAACAGTATCTTATCCCCAGATATGGAGCAGGTTAATTACATTCAATGCTCAGTTTGAACATCTGGGTTGGGGCGGAAGGTTTCTGTCAATCCTTAAAAGAAAAATTTAAATTGTGAATTTTACAGCCATGTTGACATTTATACATTATACTCACTCCCCCCTTTTACACATGAAATCATGTGTAACAAAACCCTGTAATGGGAGGGGAACAAAAACTGTCAGGTAATTGGTTAGGAACATAACGAACATTATTATCATTATTTCCACAGTGAACACTTCAGTGAAAAGAAGTGTTCCTCTCCGTCCTTCAGGCCTAAAAGAAACAGAATCTTCAGATTGTAGTTTTACATTTGCAAACCGCCAACTCATGTGAGAGGAAAATATCACATGTGCGGTTTCCCCTTTTTGTGGAATTTTTAGGAAACCTCTCGTTTCCCTTGGAGCTCCAAAATAATATGTTAGTCCAAAAACATGCTTGGTTAGTTATTGTTTTAGAATCATGCAGTTACACTGATCACATGCCGGCATTCATTCACACTCACACTGTCTGGTTGTCATGTCAAGTTTGGTCAGGTCCACCCCAGAGTCAGTCATCCACAGTGCCTTGTCAAGTTACACTGTCGGTCAGGGTCAAAGGTCAGTTGGTCTCCGTCTTTTTGGCCATGTGTCGTGCTCTGCAGAGACTTTGACATTTCAGCATAGGCCAGTATCCTTTGTCTACAAAAATATGTCACGATTTCAACTATAATTTTCAAGATGATTCTCACTTGTCATTGGGACTTCCGCCTCCCACTTTTCCTGAAACTTGGTACAAAACTCACTTCCTTCGAGTACCACTACTAATTAAAATGTCTAATGATCTATTTCAGAAACTTGTGTACAATAACTATTATCTTGAGTCAAAACATTACTAGGATCTGTGTCGCTCTGCATTTCATAGCTCATTATAATTCTGGTCTACTTAAAAAACGATGTTAAACTCTTTAGCAGTGTGTGGAACCTTGGGTGTCCGAACATGCAACAATTACTCCCTCCTTTATCAAGGATTTAAAACCGAAGTCTGGTAATAACTATGCCACAATGGTGAAATCAACACTTTAGATTGGAATTTAATATGTGGCTTGGCACTAGCCATTAATACAAACAAAGATTTGTCCTATAGAGTGGTTCCTAAAACTATCCTTTTAATGGTGATCAATATTGTAACCAATGAGATCACTACTTTATTCACACGTGAATAAAAATGTCTTAAAGAATGAATTGTTAACATGATGAAAATATTGAAGAATATGGTTCTACTCTGTCAGTGTGTTTTAGGATGATTATCATTTTACTTTAATAGTTTCCTCTTTACTGCTATTTTTAATTTACCAAATGATTAATAAATCTTTCTGTCTTTACGTATTTATGAAGTTAATTCAAGTTATTTAAATGTGCGTTTCGTGAATAAGTGTGTTTATGTGTAACTCACTCATTCCCGTTCTCCTTTTCTCCTCCCCTGGTTTTCTCAAGCCGTGACCCCGGCCTCCGCACTTCTAATCGACCATGCCAACTCCTCTGATTCTGTCTTCTCTTCAGTCCATCAGCTGTTGAATCCATCCGCTGTAACTTTTGTAGGCAGCCATTGGCCCAGTCACATCTGCAGCCCCATCATGCCACTGTTGTTGCACTCCTCCTTTACAGTCTCTCTGCTGTTTTTATGGAGGGCGGATTCTGCTCTCATGTCCTGTCTGAGGGGCTGATGAGAGTATCTCTCTGTATGTCAGCATGCTGGTTTGGTTCTGGATGCCACAGGTGGAGATAGTTCTGGCTGCAGTCTTGATGTAGTCTTGTTGTTGTTGTTGGTTCAGCTCTGGTTCTCTGTCTGTACGATGGAGAAGGAGGAGTCTCCTGTTGGGTTAGGTCTCGTTGTCTGCTTGGAGGGTCGGGATCAAAGCCTTTCTAACTCAGAGGGGGAGTCCAGGTCCCGGTACACATTACCTATAAGAAGTCTAGCACACTGATGTTAAATAAATCCAACCCTTTCCACTCTGTCTCTTTCTAATCATACTATCTGTCTTAGTTGTTAAATGCCATCTAAACAACATAATTAATGTCTACTTATGATATTACAAAAACTCACTCCAAAAATTGTTTCATCCATTGTTACATATTTACCCAACACAACTCTGAAATACTTACATGTTTCCAGCATCACATATTCCACACACTATGAAAGAACATCTCCATATCTTCTCTCATTTTAAATCCCACTGTTACTTCGAACAATAGTAAACCTGCAGAGCACACCAATCGGATCACAGTAATGACATTTGAATCAAGTGTAGGCCTATGTCTTCTTTCTGAACATTTATTTATATTGTCTACATTTGCAAACAGTTCGAGTGTAAAATGTGTTTTGCACAATGTATTTACACTCTACAGATTCTTGAGTTTACTCATCTCCTGGTGCTGTCGTTGTAAAAAATGTTCAATCCCTTATTGTTTTGTACCAGTTTACCAAAATCAGTTATAATTAATATACTGGGAACGTGCTTCCCGTCTTCAATACCGGCCAGCAATGTAATGA